AATAGGACTGTATCAAAACGGGGCCTCATGTCAACTGAGCACGCCCATATATATATTTGCTTGTTAAATACTCTCTTTTTGTTATAATATGGCTCAATTGAAATTTCTTTTTTTCCTACTTTAAAAATAAAATTTAGAGAAATTCAAAGACAATTGTTAATTTTATTTTAGAAAGTAAAAAAATGGTATTGTTTTTATTGATATTATTATTTATTATTTTTATTATTCTTCGATTTAAAAGTTGGATTATTAATTATATTAAAGTATTACAAACTTATAAACATATTCCATGTCCACCACATAGATTACCTTTACTAGGAAATCTATTCAATTTACCATTAAATCCGTATGGTAAGAAATAAATTCTCAAGAAAAATAATGATTAAACTTTATAGAATTTTCGAGAAAACTTGAGACATTTTATGAACAAAGTAAAGATTCGGCTTTGTATTGTATATGGGTTGGTACACATCCTATAATTTTTTTCTTTCATCCAGTGGAACTTGAGGTTTGTTATTCGTTTTTATATTAGAAAGAAAAAAATGATATGATTTATTTTAGCATTTTTTTGGTAGTTCAAAACATATTACAAAATCATCGGATTATGCATATGTTGAACCATGGCTTAAAACAGGTTTATTAACAAGGTTGGTTAGAATCGAGAATATCTCTCTCACTTCAAGACTTGACCTCCTCAGATTTATTTTTTAACGAAAATGAAAATAAAACGAGAGCGAGGGTTGATTGTAAGAAGGATGCATTTCTTTTCTATGCAGTTAGTGTGTTTATACTATAGAAAGGTTTATTCAAATATTTAAAAAAGTCTCGAGAAAGAAAATGAAATTTCTGCTTGGTTTCTGATCAGAAAGTTTCTTAGAGACGAAAATCTATCATACTAAAAGATCATTTTGGATAGTACGGAATTCTCTTTCTCTAAAGATTCAATGGCCGATATAGAATGTTAGTGGAAATGCGGGAGGCAGTATAGGTAAACAACAGTTTTCGAAGCTCATTCAAGCTAGTATGAAGCCAAGTTTTGCTTGATTTTGCAGTGAAAAATCGAAGAAAGTTTTTGAAAGAATGGAGGAGTGCCCGCTCCTTTGTTCCGCCCTCTTCTTGGTAAATCCACTACTACTAATGAAGAAGCCTCACTAACTGATACTTTCTGTTTGAGCTTATATTTTGTTCATCCGTAGGGCTCATAGTTCAGATAAAATCACTAAAAGGGCTCGTCCCACTATACCTTTTTTCTCGAGTTATGGTCATTTTTCTGAATTTTAAGCCTATCACAGGGCATTCTGCAAAAAACCGCAACAAGAAATTTTCAGGTGAAAATTTTCTCGGTAACAGACTTCATGGTCCTTATTATATTCTGAGAGTTTCAGCAAAAAAAATGCTTCTTTCCCGAGATGATACATTTGCAAAAACCACTACTTTCTCATAACAGCTCCAAAAATAGTTCATTTCTTAACCCTTTAAGGACCGAATTTCTTTTTGATCGAAAAACACATTTTTCAACCTTTTTATTTTATTTTAACTCAAAATGGCTATATAAAAATGTTATGATAATCAAAAAAAAATAATGTTTTTCATCTTTTAAACAAGATAACAATTTGCAACTAAAGCACTAGATCTTGGATCGAAAATTTGCTTCCTCGGTGTCACAATAAGCACATCATCTTGTTTTTCCTTTCACAGACAAATGCATTTCATTGTCAAAATTAAGGATAGTTTTTGGTGATGCTAGTCTAGACTTATTTTTAGAAAGAGGTCTTCCACAACTTATTCGTTCATTGCCGAAACAGAAAGACTCCGATACTGAAACCAAAATGACATGCTTTGCAAATTCAAGAACAAATTAAATTCGTCCATAAGAGTGGGAGCGTATATAGCCAATAGAGAATGAGAATATTCTCGAGAAACAAAAGATCAGAGAAGAGAGAAATTATCACGTCACTGTATCTTGGCAGCAAGAACAAAGGATATTTGAAAAGAATTTACATGAGAGAAGGAAAAAAAGAAAAGAAAAGTATGGGATGACAAATGCAGTTGTTTATGATCTTAATGACCTTACATATTTCATAGTTTAATGTGAACTAAACATTTTTTTCTTTACTGAAAAATAGGTGGGTTAAAAATGACCCATCGGTCCTCAAAGGGTTAACACATTCAACCCGATGAGACCCACCGGTGGGTCCCACTATATTGTACAGTGGTTAGTCGGCCATGAAAACAAAAGATTCTCAGAAAATTTTTTTGTCTATCAGACTTTGTAGAGCTCTCTTTGCCGATCATTTTGATAAAAAGATTTTTTAAATTTGACAAATAAATGACGGTGCTAGAGTCGAAATACTGAAAATCTGAGACAGTTCTGTCTGCTAGAGCTATAACTTTTTTTCAGTATTTTGACTCTAGCACCGTCATTTATTTATCAAATTTAAAAAATCTTTTTTATTAAATGATCGGCAAAGAGAGCTCTACAAAGTCTGATAGACGGGACATTTTCTGAGATCTATTTGTTTTTCGTGGTTGACTATCTATAAAAATACTCAATTATATATCTGAAAATTTTGGAACTTTTGGTAATTCTTTAGCTCATAGTCATTCTGTGAATTGCTAGTTATACTACTAAATCCCGTTTTCGACAAGATTTCGTTTGGCATAAAATTCATTATTCATCTCATTTGTATTTGGAGCTGTACCCTCTGGAAGAATATTATTTGCTAACGTAGAATCTAATCGGGTTCAATGTGTTAAAAAAAACTTATCCGTTTGAGGTGAAACTGTCAGGATATAATAAGAACCATGAGTTCTGTTATTTAGGAAATTTCCAGGCAGAAATTCCTTGTTGCGGTTTTTTATGACATCCTGTGATAGACTTAAAATTCAGTAAAATGACTAGAACTCGAGAAGAAAGTCCTAATGAAACGAATCCTGTCAGGGGTTTTATCTAAGCTATCAGCCCTATGAATGAGCAAAATATGAGCTCAAACAGGAAGCATCAGTTGGTGAGGCTCTCTTATAAGATTCAACGGAGACCTACTATAACACACCTTTCAAAAGTGAGTCTTACTGATTTTGTGAGAGTATAGAAGCTATCTATTTTTAGCAATGGAGCAAAATGGAAGAATCGTCGACGTATTCTAACACCTGCCTTTCATGATAAAGAATTACTTAATAATTTTGTTGATATCTATAATAAACAAACATCTATTTTAATTCAACGTTTGGCTTCAATTAAATCAGAAAAAGAAGTTAATTTATATCCATATATTGCATCATGCGCTCTTGATATTATCTGTGGTTAGTCTTTTTTCCATACTTTTTATCTAAAGGTTGGTATGGAAATAATTTAGAAGCTGCAATGGGTTTGAATATTGGTGCTCAACATAATAGAAATTCTCAATATGTTGATGCTGTTTTAAAGTAAATCAAATCCTTGAAAATAAAATTTATGAATAATTTGTTTAGAATAACAGATATAATATTAAAACGTCAACGTATGCCATGGATGTGGCCTGATGTAATATTTAAATTCTTATCTGAAGGACGAGAACATGATCGATGTTTAAAAATCATTCATCAATTTACAAAAAAAGTTATTCATGATCGTGCTCAAGCATTTCATGCTAGTGAAGTTCATGGAAAACATTCTGCATTTCTTGGTAAATTATCATTTATTCTCAAAGTAAAATCGACCTTCTCTATTCAGATTTACTTCTAAAACAGATGCATGATGAACAATTAACACTCGCTGATATTCAAGAAGAAGTTGATACATTTATGTTTGAAGTATTAGAAACAAAATCGATAACATACTTTTTTCTTATTGTTTTGGATATTTAAGGGACATGATACAACTGCAGCAGCAATGAATTTTACTTGTTTTATGATTGCATTACATCCGGAAGTTCAACAAAAATTACATGAGGAAATCGATAAAGTTTTCGGTAATTTTCAAAATAAAAATTCATTGAGTTTTTTGTAAAGTTAAGATTATAGGTGATGATTATGATCGCCCATGTACAATGGAAGATTTAAATGAATTAGATTATTTGGAATGTGTTATTAAAGAAACACTTCGACTTTTCCCATCAGTTCCAGGTATTGCACGTGAAGTACAAGAAGATTTTATGTATCGTGAGTTAATCTAAATATTCTTTGAGATATTCGATTAATTTTTATGTAGATAATTTTAAAATTTTACGAGGTTCAACAGCTGCTATAAGTATTTATTATGTTCATCGTGATCCGAAGCATTTTCCTGATCCCAATCGATTTGATCCAGATCGATTT